ACACATAATGCCATTGGATTTATCTGGATATGTGTCAGATTCAAATACATTAAATAAAAGAGATGGTGCGTGTACCCCGGCAAAGGAAAATAGATATGTTTTAGATCTAGCTAAACGTAGATCTACTGACCATAAGCCTAACAAATGTGAATGTGCACTAAACAAAAAGTCAATCTCAAATGCCAATTTGATATACAGAATTGAAACAACTGTAATATCTCCGGAAACACAAAATGTATGCAATAACATGCTTGAGAAACAGTTGGATACATATGATTTGCTGAAAAATTTGTATGCACCAGGATCAACATCAAAGAAATATATTGATTTATGTAAAAATATACTGAAGACACAGACAGACACAATTGAAATATTAAAAAAGATCTATTTACCTCAGAAAGAGTTTTCGAAATCACCGAGAAGCTCGGATGAACCTACGAAATATCCACATTTGTCGAAAGACGATATTTCAAAGATCCCCTTTTCTAAAGAATCTCAATTGACAGAAGCTGAATCTGAAAAAGCTGCGAAATTACTTAGGACAGCAATGCTTGGTACAAAAGTGATGGATCTACCTTATAAAGAATTTGATGATTCTTTAGTTCCCAAGCAGTCCGAAATGGATAAAAAATCAAAACTGTCAAAATATGATATTCTCAAAAGAATAAAAGAAGCTTACAAAGCTTGTAGCTGTAAAGTTTGTGAATGCATTGCCGGTAAAGTAAAAACAGAGACTTGTCAATGTAAACCTTGTGAATGCAACGAATGTCTAAGCTATATGAACAAAACTGAAAAAATAAAAACATCAAAGAACGACATGAACGTTGATAATAAATATCGTGGGACAAGTAACCAACAAATGTGTGATTGTAAACCTTGTGATTGTGCTGATTGCACTAGAACTATGAAGAAACTTTGTGACAGCGAACCATGCCATTGTGTGGAATGTAAAACCAAAAGTATACACAAGCGTCAAACTTTGGTAGTTGCGCCTGTTGGAAGAGAAGAGAATGTCCAACGTTTAGCATGTACATGTTCACCGTGTGATTGCATCGAATGTGGACTCATTCACTCCATGGCTTCTAATGCTATGCATGAAATGTCAACGGGCACTAGTAGACATGCTCAATGTAGATGCGAAATTTGTCTTAACGAAGTTTGTAATCAACGTGACATTAATGCCTGTTCGTGTCAAAAGCGAAAGAAGGTTATTAGTAAACCAGTTGATCAAGGTACCCATGATTTCGATATACGTACAGCTACAACGAATCATACTAAACCCTTATACTCACGGAGAGAAAATAAATCTTCAAACCATGATACTATAGCTATGTATGCAGCAGTACCTACGAATTACCATGGCTTAACTTCTAATGAAGACATATCAAGCAAAGATAATATGTGTAATTGCGACGAATGCGAATTTCTAAATTATGTTTGCCAAAAGGAAGCGGTTATGGATATAAAATCGTCTCAAGCGTTTTCATCTTCTCGAACAATAACAAAATCTGATCTCAACGTCTGCAGCAAATCAGTATTAAACTCTTATGAAGATTGTACATCGCAAAGGTCATGTAGTTGCCAATTGTGTAAAAGACAGTATGATTATACACATCATATTTACACTTCAGCTTCCTATTTAAGCGAAGACTGCGAGTGTGACCCCTATGAATGCATAAAATGTGGTGGGGATCTAATGCCTAACCGCTATCCGTCTAATACTTCATGTGAAAGTGTAAAATCAAAACCCCCGTTTGATAATAAGTATAGAGAAGAAAAGCTTGCTACGGCTAAGCCACTTATTAAAAAGGGTGAAGGTTATCCATCTACTCGTAAATTGACAAAACAAAGTTCAAAGCCCTCTATACAAGCATCTAAGATGAGACCCTCAACTAAAATAAGTTCCATAACAAACGCAAACTTAAGTGACCTAAAGAAACCACAGCCTGTAAATCAAAAATATTCTATTAAAGAAGGATCATCAAGTTACCTCTTTGGATATTCTTCCAATAATATATCCTCCATCACATCTGGTCACAATAAATATGATACTAATACAATACCGATGTCGCGAAAGAAGTATAAGTCTTGGGAAAGCTCCTGCAACAGTTCAGGTTACGACTACCCGGAATATTTAATACAATTTCCACAATCGACCGTAGGCGATGACCTTAAAAATGCAATGGGTTTAAACAATAACCAAACAAAATATTCTCATAAATCAAATTTATCCTCAAGAAGTGATTCAAATTCTATGGTTGATAAATTATCGTGCGATGATATATCAACTAGGGAGATTACTACAGATAAAACTAGTATTCTAGATATATTTAACCCCGAGATGACTTCCAATAAACAAAATGGATCAAAAAACCCACAACAAAGACAAAAATGCCATGATTCCAACAATATCTTCGACGAAATATCTCATTTTCATGACGTATACCAAAATGCTGTTATAACAAGTTCTCAGTTTTACAAGTTGGAAATGAAAAAGAGATCAGAATATCAGAAGAATAAAAAAATCACGTCAACTACAGCCGAGGAAAATTTTCAAGCTTCCCATTTATTATTAGATAACAAAAGTTCATTAAAAAACGATAATAAGAACACAAAATATTTTAATCTGTTCAATGATGTCAATGATTTTCATTTGGGTCGAAAAGTATTCGATTCCAACAAAGTGCAGAATAAAAATACCAGCGCTGTATTACCTGCGCGTAGTGTCGGACTTAATAATATGTGGTTCCCAATTACTATACCACGTCTCTCTTTTATGAATAGTACTGACATTTTAGTAGCTGACTTAAAAAGAGTACGCAAGACTCTTAGAGAAGCAAAAGAATTTTCTTTGGAATTGATGAGGCTTTTGAACATGTATGAAAATGCAAATAAAGAATTCGAATGTGTGTCCGATAAGCTAAAATTGTCCTACGCGTGTCTGATTGGTAGTGATATGAAAGTAAAGAAACAGGAAAGCGGCTATATTAAGGAGACAAATCAAAAACAAGAAAAAACCTATAATAGAATTGAAAATGAATTACATGGGAGACAATCAGTACCACCATCAGCTGAACTTAATGTAGATCTGCGAATCAATACCATAATATCGGATAATAACATTTCAAAGTTAAAAAATGCTAGAGATTATGATATCACGTCTCAAGATGTTGCTCATAGACGAAAACAAAATCGATTAGAAGATGAAATTGAGTTGCATTTAAATAGCGATGAACAATTTTGTAATGACATGGCAAACGTAGAAAGCGTCAAGCAAATTGAGGTTACAGAAAGTAATAAAGTAAAAGAAGACAAGCAAATGGAAAAAGTCCTAACAAATGACTCCTTTTCTCGAATTAAAGAGATATCAGCTGGGATCGACAAAGATGAGAGAAAAAATAACCAAATAAACGAGGAAGATTATAAAAAATATAAAAGGAGTAAGACCCGAAATTCGAATGGCTTGAAAGCTAAATCATTCCACCACCAAATAAAATACCGCGTAGCCGTTGGAACATCAACTGATAACAATTCAACGAGTATCAATAGGTCCAAAACAAAGTTATTGGTTAATTTTTCTGAGAAAGTGGATCAACGAAATAACAACGCACAAGAACATTGCAAAGATTTAAAGCAGATTATGAAAAAAATTGACAGCGTTTTTGCAGGTATTGAACAAATTACCGCATCGACTTCTACTGAAACTAAAGCGCTTGATGACCACTTCAACAACGCTGTCATTAGCCACGTGAGTGTACGGAATTTGAAATTGGTTGCATAATATTTGTAATAGTAGGTACTGTATTTTAGACTATTTTGTTATCCTAATAACTTTTCTTTAAACTGGTAGGAAATTAAAGAAACAAGTCCATGGCCAATTTTAAGAAAAAACTTCAGTTGGAATGCTAGACCTCAGACAAAGAATGAAATTTCAAATTTTCAAAAGCAAAGAACGCACTCAGTTTCTCAGCAAACTGCTACACCCAGGAAGAGACGACATGAAAATAAAACTTTAGTAAGTTATTTAGTTAGTTCGTTTTACTGTATTTTAGTTTATATTTTTAATGTTAAGCAATTTTCAACACTAAAAATATGTTTATGTTACAAAATAATAAATGTCTGTAATTATTTTACGTTTAATAAAGTACGTAACTGATTTTATATTATTTAAAAGCACCTATCTCTATTACAAATACGGCAAAGAAATAGTAAAATTCGCACCTATCTCTGAAAGCTAATTAATAAATGGTTTTTAATTCTACTTAAATCAATTTCAGGCCAGTCTACAAGTTGAAGTGCAGAAACTCTTGGAAATGCCAAGATTAGAATCGCAACAGTGTTACCAATCCTGCTGAATATCAGGAGGAAACCTTGAATAAGCAGGCTAAGGTTATAAAATGCCATTGTAATCCCTTGTGTAAAAAATTTTGAACGAAACACAACACTGTGGTTGTTTCACGCCGGTTTTCTGTGAGGACACAGTATCACTCCGGTCGAGCCGACCCATTCGTGCAGAAGCATGGCTCTCCCACACTAACTAAAATTAGATTCTTAAGTTTTAATCCTGTTTAAAAATGTTGTTGCTATTGTAGACACATTTACTTAGGTTACAACTCTGTTACACTTCCTTAGATATCTTAACATAATAGAATTGGTACTACTACGCACATAAGACTTTTGACGCTACTGTATATTGGTCAGGTTAGACTAGAATTCCTAATCCCCAGATTTATTTTACTACGACAGATGCACTGTTATGATTTTGGAGCAAACACGCAGCGCGCATTGCACAGAAAGCATAACATTAACTTCAGACCTTGTGAAAAAAGCGGAACGGTCTTCGGCGAAGATGGAATTGTTGACAAAATTAAAAAAAAAAGCTTCTGCAGAAAACCAACGGGGACTGTCTGGTTGAAAATTAAACGTCTTCCGTCTGATGCGTCGGCGGTGTTTAGTGCAATCGTCTCACTGGGTTTTAATGTTGTAATAAAACAATAGTATCAATCCACAATCCCTGTTTTTTTATTCCTGCTCCTGTACAGTTGCCATATTGTAGAACGTCTTTCAGAAATAAAGGAATCAAATCGAGGGAATAATATAATCTTGACGCCGATCAGTGATGCCTTAATGTGAATTTTGCGAGCGTCCGCAGATTGTCGGCTCACACTGTCCTGAATGAGCAGGGTCTTTTTTGTGAGGGGGAAATCATCAATTGACCTCTCCCGCCACCAAGGGTAGGGCGGGTCCCAATAGGCCACGTTCACACTGCGACCATTCGATTCTATATTAATCGAGAGACGACCTTCGATCTGAGAAATAAAATCCTCGATCAATATTGGAATTCTGTCCTCCATACTATTTTGACAACCGATTGATGCAAACCACAAGGGCAAAGCTCTGCGGATAACGCGTGCGAGTGTGTACGATCTTCGAGTAGACACAATCATGTAATCACAATGTTCATTGGAAATAACAAAAAAAATATGTGAATTTTTATTTTTAATTCGACTAGAATACTAGTGAAAAAACATTTCCGTTGTATAGGTAAGTAGTCTCGAATGAAAATAATAAGTAGGTATTCGGAGGGGAATTATTACGCAAATTACATATTTGTGGTCCGTTTTATTAGACGTTATTACATACGTCTCGTTAGTGTTACACATTTGGACAAAGTTCAACATGTACGTTATATACCTAATCACAATACAAAATCTCGGTTACCTACCTATATGTAATGAGTATCTACTATCACTAAGGTACTGTTTTCATTCCGTCTCTGTTAGTTTTTTGTTTGTAGGTATGTGTTTATCATTAACCGACTTCAAAAAAGGAGGAGGTTCTGAATTTGACGCGTATTTTTTTATGTATGTAGGTACACCGATTAACGTACTCGAAGACGCCTGCATCGATTTGCAAAATTTTTATATTCGATAGAGTATACTGACCATTTGGTCCCATTGTCATGAGGTCAGGATCTAATGATCGAATCCTGGAGAAACCGAGGGGAACTTTCGAAAATTGTAGGGGCGAGTAGTTTTTTTGTATGATGTTTAAGAAGGCCTTTTACAACACTACAACTTGACGAAGGTCGAAGTCGACCAGATGTTGGAGCTGGAAGACAGTCGGCACCGACTTCAAACCTATGAATAGGTAGCAGCATAGAATTGATAGTGTTTTATTCTTGATTTTAAAAGTATTAGCTTCGCGTACGTAAGAGTGGTATTAAAATATCTATTTTAGGTAATGGAAGAGGTTCTGTAGTTCCGGTGTCGTCATGCGCTCGTAAAGGAAAGCCAGGTCAATGTCGTCAACGTATATTTGGTAAAATAAAATAGGCGCAGTCCCACACAACCCTTTCCGCTTGGACGAAGGTGGCGGATGCAGTCCTCTAACCCAAAAAATTATACAATTATTGTGATAAAAGTATAATAGTGTCCGCGACTTGCTATGCAGAGGAGTCTCAAGTGACTATTCCACGTAGGTCGTAGCCCGAGAGTGCACCTTGTTAGTAGCCTTCCCTCAAAACACAAATGTACTGGCGGGGGTCATTAACTCGCGGAGAATCTTAACACCGCCATGTAAAATATGACGTCATACGCACAACGGCATCTATAGTCAGACTTTTAATTCGATTCCTGATTTGACATTGACCACTGTCATTTTGTGAAATAATGATACCACATATAACAGTGTAGTGATGAACACAAAAATCGATAAACAATCAGTGAATCAGTTTCAGGAAGGCATTCAAAAAATTACGGCTACCGAATGGTCTAAATGTGTATCCCATGTTTTCAAAGAAGAGGAAAAAATGCGTAAGCTAGATATGTTAATTGACAATAAATATCAAAGATACGATTCATAATAAATGTTACATAGAGTAACGGCGATAGCGATAGCGATGACGGCGACAATTTATAAAATGTCTGTTTTATTTGTCACGTTCCTTCATGATCACATTTTTTATTAATTTCACACACAATTACAAAAGAAAAGTCTCAGATCGTTAATTAATTGTCAAAACTAAATTATCGGTTCAGAAATATTTTATTTCCTGATAAACTTAGTTTACTAGAGTAAATTTATAAACGAAAGGAATCGATTCACAATTATTCGATTTCCATATCGAATAATTTCGCAACGTCACTATTTATTACGTGTCATAACGTTGCAACACTGAAATTGTCAAATCTGGAATGGAATTAAAATTCCGAGTATAGTATTGAATTTTGATGTTATACAATGTAAACGATGAAGTTCACTATTGAAATAAGTTTAACATAATATTATAAATAGTTGTGTTACAGTAATTATTTAACACATTTTTGTTTTTGAAGTCGGTTTTATTAAACGTATTTTTTTATATTATTATAGCCAGTTTAGAAGAGCAATGCTGCGGCACGAATGGGATAGCTTAAATGAAGTGTGGTCTCATCGAAAACCGGGGTAAAACAACAACAGAGTTGTGTTTTCCTAAGAGCGGCGGCTACCTGACAGAATACATTTGAGTGAGGTTGCCGAAGGCCTAAACCTCCCCTTTCCCAATCTTTCGAGGCTTCAGCCACCTAAAAGCCGCACAATACTTTAAATCATAGAGTTACGTGAAGAGGATGTTTATGAACGGCTCCCACTGACACAGCTACGAATTTTTCTAACTGTCGCCTATATTCAAGTCTAATGCTCTAAGGTGAGTACGGTACATGCTTGAAGGAATTTCTAACTTTTATATATAGTTTATTCTTTGTTGAAAGGCAACCGAGTTTAAGCAACTTTTATAGTTATTCGTGTAACTAACAATTTATATTTGTCAAAAATGTGTTTGAGCATCACAAATTTGACAGTAGATAAACCAGTAATGTCAAGTATCACAACGTCAATTTGACAATCATAATTCATAATTTTTGGACATGGCTTGTGTTGTTTCTGATGTTTATTTATATTCCGAGTAATTATTATTTTAATGAAAATGGAAGATTTTAAATATTGTAGGGTGTGTCTTGTGACGGATGTGAAGATGTTTAGCTTAGAAACCTCATCAAGCGATTCTATTGGAGTTGTTTTTTCACATTTAGCTCAGATTCCGGTAAGGCTGTAGCGATATTTTTTGAAATAAAATAAATTATAAGTCACAGTTGTTTACAAACATACACATTTAAAAGTAATAATCAAAGAAAGAAGTAGTACTTACTAGAATACGATGGCATATATTGTCTATCTAAAAAATATCAAATCTCATTGGAAAATTAAATGGTTTTATTTGAGGGTGCTTTATTGAATATAATTTCCTTCGTGTTATAACCAGTTTTATTAGACCTTCCTATTCTTAAAAATTAGCTTGATAATATCTAGCATTAAAAGTCAAGATAACTTTTAGGTAGAAATAATATAATAATAGATAAGGTTAATAGGAATCCATCTTATTGTAATGCTCTGCTACACACCTTTCCATGCACTACTAGGATCATATAGAAATATAAAAAAAAACAATGTATAGCTGCTTAATTTGATTATGTTGATATTTAAATTTACTTTCAGATATTTGATAGGGACCAACATGTCTGTTTTGAATGTGCAAGCTTCCTTCACAAGTTTCAAGAATTCAAATCCAAATGTCTCAGAGCTCACCATATTTTATCAAAATTCAAATTTGGCTCAACGCATGTAAGTATTGAAACATAGTTGATACCCATACCGCTGTGTGCCATCATTTCTTAGATTGTTCACTACAGATTGATGTCCTTGGTTCATATGCTGGTATATTTAGTGTATTGTTAAATGTCCTACTTTTATGGAAATAGCAGGCCAGCAAATAGATCATCTGAAGGTAAACAACACCACCCATGAAAACCACCAAAACCAAAGGACTATCAGGTGTTGCCGGTCTATTATGAAAGAGTAAACTCTTTTCTTGATGGTTGTATATTACTAATAAGCTTTTACTATTTTATTATTTTATTATTATTATATTGCAGATTTCAAAAGAAGCTATTAAAAACATTGACAGAAAAATTAACAAATTGGAATCCAATTTGAAAGTAACACCAGTGTCCGTACAATATGAAGTGCCATTCAATGAAGACACAGAAATAGATATAAAACAAAATGAAAGTGAAGAAAATAAAGAATTAGAGGTCAGTGTGAAAATAGAAGAAGCTAACCCTGACATTGATGAGAAATATGATTTTGATGAACCTCTCAATGATTATAATGAAGACTTCATAGATGCAACAGAAGAAATATTAATAGAGGACTCAAAAACAAAGCCTAGGAAGAAGCCAAAAAAAGAACCGAAAACTAAAAAGAGAAAATTTAAAACTGTTATTAAAAGTGAAGATGATTTTAGTGATGATGAACCATTATCTAAAAGTGTGTCTAAGATTATGCCTGTTATGAAAACTAGTAAAAAAAAGAATGGACTAAACATAAGTTACTTTGATGACTATGCCACTGTTGTGTTTCTCACCCCTGAGGATGCTAGAAAGGAGGTTTTACTTAGAAAAGAATCTAATAATTATAAAATGTCTCAGTTTAAATGTGATCTGTGCTATAGAGGTTTTGAAGCTAAATCTGCTTTCGAAAATCATACAAAGAAACATAGTGTTGTGAGTATTTAAAATAGTTATTAGTTCTGTTTACCATTTTATCAGTTAATAGGCAACGCCTGTTTCGCGCGCGCCTTTATGGGGCTGCTGTTCAGGCAGGGTTGCGAGTGCTGACCTGGACCTCACCTTGGCGAGAGAAGTCAAAGTAATTTGATGAATGCCATGACCAAGGGAATTTGGAATTCATTTATAGATTACTAGGAATTTACCCAGGCACTAAATTTCTACACTAGATAATGAATGTTATCTATACTAATACTAATATACTAATACTAATATACTTATATACTTGTAAGTTTGTATGTAGGGGGTAATCTTTGAAACCACTGGTTGGATTCCCAAAATTCTTTTACTGATAGATAGCTACAATTTTCCTGAGTGCTATAGGCTATAAAACATCACGCTATGACTAAATGGAGCCGAGTTGTGGGTGAAACCGCGCGAGAGTAGCTAGTTATACATATTATTATAAAGTATCCTATTTAATCACTGTACCTATTATAAAACCGCATCAAAATTAATTTCGTAGTTTTAAAGATTTAAGTATATATAGGGTTATATGGACAGAGAAAGGGACTTTGTATTATACATCGTAGTAATTTTAGGATATAAAAACAATAAATTATGTATCATATTTTTTTCAGGATAATGGAGACTTTGAATGCGACATCTGCCACCTTCGGTTTCCGCAACAAGTGCACCTGGGTAAACACAGACTGTCAAGCCACAAGCGGAAGTTTAGTTGCAAACTTTGTTCATATATTTGTTATTGTATGTAAGTATAAAATACCACTTGGTATTTTTTGTATATAGAGCCTTATTAGATGATGTTGATTTTTCTCCCTCAAAACCCTCTAGGCATAAAATTTCATTGATATGGTTGAAGCAGTTTCAGATATAATTTGCATTTTTGTATTGTCCTTTTTAAAAGTATGAGATAACAATTACTAATCACTAGTTGGTTTAGATGTCTTTTACTATGTTATTGTAATATTTGCATATTCTATAGAAAGTCATAAGTAAGAAATATTTATTTATCTGGTTTTAATTTTCATACACATAACTTTTACAGTTATCAAGCAAAGACACATGTGAGCCTGCATAAAGGAAAAAAGTACCCATGTAAACATTGTGGAGAAATATTTAGGTTAGTAGCAACATAATTATTACAACAAACGCCTAATCTCCCAACCCCATCCTAAATCACCAAGTCCACTATCCTAACATCCCTAACTATTCACAACAACCTGACAAAACACTAATTTGTAGATTGCTTTGATCTGTAAAATATGTTAAAAAAACATTGTTGAAACAAATGTTAATAACTAACTGTAAATTACTACATTTTATATTTAGTCTATTTACATATATTTATTAAAATCATTCTAAAATTACATTTTTAAATATTACTATAAAATAAAATAATATTTAAAAAATATAAAAGTTGGAGCCAGCCGGCAGCGGGAGCATATTTAGTCTATTATTATTATTACCTCGAAATTTAGGACTTATATATTTTTTTTAATTCTTCAACTTGGTTATCTGTGTCAATACAATAGATGATTCAAACGAGGTATCTTGTTCTATGTCTATTCCTATGAACCCCTTTTATCTAGTTGTAACTAAATAAACTGTATTATATTTACTTTATAATGTTTCAGCATGCCCAACAGTCTGTTGATGCATAAACGGTTAAAACATTTAAAGGAGTTTGTTCGGGAGAGTGTCTGTGAACTGTGTGGCAGCATATTTGGTACGCCAAGAGGACTGTTCTTACATAACATGAAGGTTCATAGACAGGTAGGAGATGAGTATATTTATTGTGACGTCATAATTGGCTAGTTTCCTCGGTCAAAAAGAAATTTCTCTCACATACCTATTATAATGTAAAAAATATTTAAAAATACAAATTATTTATGAAATACACGTTAATTAATTAATTTTACGATATACTAAATATTCTTTTATTTTTAATTATTCAAGTTACAATTAAATAGCGTACCTACAATAAGTAAATAAATAAGTACGCTATTTGAGAGCTAAAAATTATACTATCGAAACGTGCTATTTCCTATAAAATCATAGAAAAATGACGTTATGGACATTTCGGAAAAAATATTGAATTTGACTACCTACTTAGAAACTACCTTAGCGCTTTTTTGTTGCAAAGAAAGATATTTCTTTTGGAACCAACTGATGATTTTTATTAAAGTTTTCGTGAATCAAGAGACACTCATCAACTTAATGACTATTAGACTATCTGTTTAAGCAAAACCCTGATCACTCAGCTTAAATAGGTATGTCGATTGATAGGCCAGTATGACATAATACTACGTTAGCGCCATCTAGCGAGCGCAAAAAAAACAGCAATGAAACAAACTCAATGTTACTGTTTTAAAGAATGAGTTCCTTTCATACTCAGTCATTGATTAAGTTACTTTTATGTTATAGGTTGAAAACGACAAATTGGGACCTAAATGTGAAGACTGTGATGTACATTTTACTTCAGAAGAGGCCTGGAAGAGACATCTAGTGCTTTCCTCTAAGCATAAAGTCAGGTAACGGAGTCATAAATATCACAATTTATAAATGAACGTAGCCAGAATTGTATGGATAGACTTTCGTGAAATTGTCTAGGAACAAAAAATATTGGCCCCCAATCCTTCCCCTCCCCCGATCCCTCCCTAATCCCGAAATCTCCTAAACCCTAATCCCTAAAAGGTCGGCAACGCACTCGTAACTCCTCCGTTGCCTCCTCCATGGGCGGCGCCGATTACTTACCATCTGCACGTTTGCCGACCAATTACTTACATAAAAAAAGTCTATTTTGTAGCCTCTTTAGGTACTAAATAACGTATAACACCAATTAAACATAAACTTTAATGCGAGCAAGGGTGCAAAACATAGTCGCTTTCTCAGTCCATATATCCCTTTGTAAGCTTAATGACTCAATTTCATCAGGTTTTTTAATAGACAGAATGGATGACGAGGAAGATTTATATTTATTTATTTATTTATCAAAACTTATTCTATCTTTACAGGGTTTCCCTAATGCGACAGATAAGACCTTAAACTAAACTTAGACTAAAATAAACTTTATACCAAACTATTTAAACAAACTTACTTAATAATAAACAATTAAATTATAACAAAATATGAGACAAAACTATTTTATACATACATACATATATAGGAACATCCATTAAATAGTGGAGAAATTTAATATCAGCATTGCACCCTTGCGAAGCCGGGGTGGGTCGCTAGTAGTAAAACTATATAACATTAAGATCAAAAATGGGTATTGGATTAACAACCAAATAATAACAGCCGTAAGAGTGTTTTTTAATAATGTAATGTAAATCGATGTTTCTGATATTTCAGTAACGGTTGTAAATTCTGTGGCGACACATTCCCCAATTTGGACGATCTCAAAGCTCATCTCAGAGTGCATTCTCGGAAGCAAATGAACAGATCTAGTGTGAAACTGCCGGCTGCTTGTCTTATTGTGAGTATTCGAATAATTTCTTAAAAACTAATTAAATAATAAATAACTTAGGTATTGTAATGGTAATATTAAAATTTAACGGGTTACCTTCATTACCATTTGATTTGTAAAACTACCTACAAATATACAATGTAGCACTCACTTTTCTCAAAGAGTTTTTAGACGACCTCAGATGGGGCCTATTAGAGTCGATGTTTAGTCGGAATTACGGGTACAAGTGCAAGAGAGGAAATGAGGTGGTTTTTAGTCAGTAAGAGTCCGACAAACGCTTTCGACCCATCCAGAAGAAAAAAATATGATGATTCTCCCCACTTCAAAAAAGAAACTGACCACTTTTCACTCTTGTTATGTAGCCTATCATTACACAATATCCACAATTCCAGAATACACGTGTAAATTGATTTAAGCCATTTTCGACATAACGGAATCTGATCTTTTTTCAACTTTGGTCGAGAAGTTTCAGACATTCGTATATAAAAGTCCTCCAACAAAAGGAGATCCGTTTAAAATATTCAGTGATAGAGCTTATAATTTAAAATCAAATGATTCCAGTGCGACAAATGGTTAGTTAACCGCGTCGAGTATAAGATCCATGTGACGTCAGAGCACCCACACACTGATGAGGCGAAGAAGATATCTATTGAAGAACAGACTCCTTTCGTGTGTGAAGTCTGTGGTCAGATGTTTAAGGTATTCTTTAACTTTTCTCAGATATTTTGTATTAAAAAGTGTTGGACTGGACTTATAATTCCTAATAATAAGTTTGAAATCGCCATTCCGCTTTAAGCAAGTGTGACAGCAAATTAGTGATTAATGCTCAAACCATCTCCGTATGCAAAGAGACCTTTGATCAGCAGTGGGCACTTACAGGCTGATGATGATGTGTAACTTTTTTAACTAAAAAGTGCTAAAACCAAGTTTTAGCACTTTCGTGGTGAATCGATACACGAAAAGGGTGAATAGATGTTGGCTAAATTTCCTAGTATATTGAATATATACTAGGAAATTTCTTCTGTGTCTATTTACCCCCCTTCTGTGTATATTCACACCTCTTTTGTGTCTATTCACCCCTCTTCTGTGTCTATTCACGCCCCTTCTGTGTCTCTTCACACCTCTTCTGTGTCTATTCACCTCTCTTCTGTGTCTATTCACGCCCCTTCTGTGTCTCTTCACACCTCTTCTGTGTCTATTCACCTCTCTTCTGTGTCTATTCACCTCTCTTCTGTGTCTATTCACGCCCCTTCTGTGTCTATTCACCTCTCTTCTGTGTCTATTCACGCCCCTTCTGTGTCTATTCACCTCTCTTCTGTGTCTATTCACCTCTCTTCTGTGTCTATTCACCTCTCTTCTGTGCCTCTTCACACCTCTTCTGTGTCTCTTCACACCTCTTCTGTGTCTCTTCACACCTCTTCTGTGTCTATTCACCTCTCTTCTGTGTCTATTCACGCCCCTTCTGTGTCTCTTCACACCTCTTCTGTGTCTATTCACCTCTCTTCTGTGTCTCTTCACACCTCTTCTGTGTCTATTCACCTCTCTTCTGTGTCTATTCACCTCTCTTCTGTGTCTATTCACGCCCCTTCTGTGTCTATTCACCTCTCTTCTGTGTCTATTCACGCCCCTTCTGTGTCTATTCACCTCTCTTCTGTGTCTATTCACCTCTCTTCTGTGTCTCTTCACACCTCTTCAGTGTCTCTTCACACCTCTTCTGTGTCTATTCACCTCTCTTCTGTGTCTATTCACCTCTCTTCTGTGTCTATTCACCTCTCTTCTGTGTCTCTTCACACCTCTTCTGTGTCTATTCACCTCTCTTCTGTGTCTATTCACCTCTCTTCTGTGTCTATTCACCTCTCTTCTGTGTCTATTCACCTCTCTTCTGTGTCTCTTCACACCTCTTCTGTGTCTATTCACCTCTCTTCTGTGTCTATTCACCTCTCTTCTGTGTCTATTCACCTCTCTTCTGTGTCTATTCACCTCTCTTCTGTGTCTATTCACCTCTCTTCTGTATCTATTCACATCTCTTCTGTGTCTATTCACCTCTCTTCTGTGTCTATTCACCTCTCTTCTGTGTCTATTCACCTCTCTTCTGTGTCTATTCACCTCTCTTCTGTGTCTATTCACCTCTCTTCTGTGTCTATTCACCTCTCTTCTGTGTCTCTTCACACCTCTTCTGTGTCTATTCACCTCTCTTCTGTGTCTATTCACCTCTCTTCTGTGTCTATTCACCTCTCTTCTGTGTCTATTCACCTCTCTTCTGTGTCTATTCACCTCTCTTCTGTGTCTCTTCACACCTCTTCTGTGTCTATTCACCTCTCTTCTGTGTCTATTCACCTCTCTTCTGTGTCTATTCACCTCTCTTCTGTGTCTATTCACCTCTCTTCTGTGTCTATTCACCTCTCTTCTGTGTCTCTTCACACCTCTTCTGTGTCTATTCACCTCTCTTCTGTGTCTATTCACCTCTCTTCTGTGTCTATTCACCTCTCTTCTGTGTCTATTCACCTCTCTTCTGTGTCTATTCACCTCTCTTCTGTTTCTATTCACCCCGCTTCTATGTCTATTCACCCCGTACCGTAAATCGTACCTAAATGAAACTTTTCCATTCCAGCAACAATGTTTCCTAACATACCATCAACGTAAACACACGGGCGAGCGTCCGTATAAGTGTTCGGAGTGCGACAAAACGTTCCAGTTGGCCGGCGCGCTGTCCATACACCGCTCCGTACATACTCGCAGAAGGGCGCATAAATGTGACATGTGCGCACGAGTGTTTACGTTCAAAAGCGCTCTGAATAAACATATGAAGGTATTGTGCAATTATTTGCCTTTTATATTTGTGTAGGCTGTCTTTTCTTTGTATTGAATGCATTGGCCCGAGTGTTAGTACTACCTCGTGGAAAATAGACGTGATACCACGTTTTTTTGAGAGGGAAAATGATCAAATGATTTAGTTAGTGTGTGTGTAAGTGTCTGATCTAATGAGAGAATGATCTCTCTAATGAGAGAGTCTCTTGCTGAGTAAAACCATCTCGTTTTTACTCTTGATCCGCGGACGCGGTACGATTCCGTTGTGTTTATGAATCTCCAAATTATGACGTAATATTTTGTGCCGGGGTCCGTTTAACATTCAATATTCATAAAAATAGACTAAATAGAATAGACCCATAACAATAGAACTTGTTTCGGTTTAGTTATGATTATTCTCTATTTTAGATGTTAGCTTTTTTATATGGGAACATTGCGTTGGCATAGTAGCAAATCACAAAATTTCATATTTTACCTAACGTATTTTAATTTTCATTGGCAGGTACACCTCGGAATTCGACCCCACAAATGCGCGATTTGCGAAAAAGGGTTCATTCACATGTGTGACTTGAAATTACACATCAAATACGTACACGATAAAGTGCCATGGCCTAAGAAAAAAACTAAAAGAAACATCGTTGATGAAGGAACTTATATGGACTATTAAAACGGGCATACTGATCATCATTATCTACATGTGCCGAAAGACATCCTCGACGGCCTCATGAAGAAAACTTCACCTTTTAGTCCCCGCGGGTCTGCGGACGGCGAGTAAGCGTATATCTCGCCGCCCGACCAAAACCAGGCCCGAGCGTACGGCGCGTAGCGTTCCGCGCGCTTCAAAGAGCCAATAGACCACCACAGACGGGGCCCTATAATGTTCAGCCGGGGTTGCGGGGTAAGAGCAATGTGGCACCGTGGCCTCGGCCTAAAACAGGTGGGTTATAAGTCAGACAATCTTTCTCGCCTTACCCTGGGAGGGAGAAGTCATTTGATGATATTCCCCTAATAAAAAAATCCTTATGATCCACCGGACTCAATGATACCTCGTCTTGGAGGAGGAGAAGGTGCGGGACCGTATTTGGCAGTAAGATTCTGATACTCCTTCGGGTCAAACTAACGGCGGGAGTATTTATTGTATAAAATTCTACCTGCAAAAAAGGCTATTAATAACTGGAAGCGCCCAATGATACTTGAAACGGTTGCCTGCGACTGGCAATGTCGTTGTTCTTCCTAAAATATCGGTCCACTGACACCAAAATAAAATAATATAGGTTGACTATTGGTCTTTTGGCACGATCTATGGGAAGCTCTAGTTCAGTAGGCAACGACGTTTTACAGCAGATAATAATACCTATGCGGCCTTATTACAAAACAAGGTTTTACTTTAGTCTGGGACTAAACCATTGAGCCAGTTTTTGTATTTCGAATTGAAGGTAGATGACAATAAGATTCAAAATTTAAAATCCGACTCAATGGTTTAAAACTGGACTAAAGATAAATCTTGTTTTGTAATAAGGGGGATGATGTTTATTTGTATAAGTTGGAGTAGCAATGATGCGTATGAATCTCATAGCAATAAGATAAAATTATATATATTTGTATAATAATGTAATATAGACTGCTGGTGTAGCTACCTTTACAACTTAATATACAGTTTTACAAAACAGTTGTATCTTGTCATTGAAATCCCAGAATTAAGGTCTCACATGAAAAGTCCATCATGGATAAATGTTTCTTCTAAATTATATTGGTAATTTTTTATGGGACAGGTCGGCAAACGAGCTGACGGATTACCTAATAAAGCAAGTAAGCAATCAGCGCCACACGTTTTCAGATATTTAAGGATTGGGAGAGGTGCAGGGATTGGTCTTCCCTCACCTCACTCACACAGCGAAACAATGGCGTTGTTGTTGTTTCACGCCAGTTTTCTGTAGGCCGTAGTATCATTCGATTTATTATGTACAGTATACCCACATTTAAAAGTATTTTACGCCTTGCTTTTGCGGTATATTCGCATTTAGTAGTGATTTTGTGGCCTTGGCAACATTTATTTAAATCACATCGAAACTTTTTTAACGCAGATCTCTTCTTCCATCCATAAATGACTTTAAGTACTTTTATAATTATTCTTTATAGTCTTTGGCCTAACCTATGTTTATACAAACATCGTCAAATCACTGACAGTTATTTTAAAACCCCACACTTATTTTCACACTTTTGTTATAAAAAATAGAATGAAATAAATAATAAACAAAATCTGTTGTAAAATATTTGAACAAAATGAACAAAACTCTTCGAAGGGGAAGAGGGCCACATCGAGATAGTCCTCCCAGAACCAATGCTTATAGAAATAAAGGACAAAGTGGCGTAGAAAATATTCCACATTCTTCTTTCAGGCCTCGCTGTAAAGAGAAGAACGTGGCCAGTAGGTGCTGTTACGTAACTCCGGATCAGAAAGACTTTGGACAATCTTATGGTATAGATAGAAGATCAATTGAGTCAAGGGATAAACGTCTTCATAAGGATATGTTCATAGGAAAGAACTCGTTTCAAAATGATCACGTATGTAATGCAGTTGATTTTGGCTTTTACCATAATATAGGTATGGGACAGTGCCGCGACGTTCAAAATTAAATGTCCTTTTTCTTGTTTCGTTGTGCGACACACCACAAAATTAATAAATACAACTTTATTAAGACAATAGCTTTTGCCCGCAACTCCATTCGTGAAATAGTGTCTTCCTGCAGATTTTTAGTATAAAAACTATGTATCCTTTCTCGAGTTCTACACTATGTCTGCATCAAATTTCACAGAAATCGGTTCAGTAGTTTAGTCATGAAGAAAAGACAGACAGGCAGACAGAATTACTTTCGCATTTGTAATATTAAGTATAGATATAGATTTGTTACATAATTGTGAGTGAGGTCTTCCTTTAAGCAAATGAAGCTTATAGATAGATAGGTACCTACAACTTCTGACCGTTACCTACTTATTGTTCATCGGACAAATCACACCCGTTTACACATCCGTTGAGCTGATTGTAAAATGGCACATGCATGCTCGTCGTCAGAACAAATTTACTCAAACTGATATGGTTCTTTCCACAATAAAAAGTAAAAACATATTTCCCGCCATTTCCAATCCCCCAAATCCTCATGCAAAAAGCAGACGTCCAGGAGCGCCGCCGATTGCTTACCGTCATGTGAAATGCCTGCTCGTTTGCCAACTTACCCAATAAAAAAATTGGTATCAACCACAACCACATTCAGATCAAAAAACGTAAAATTAGCTGACAATCCTGAAATACAAAAGTGACCTACCAACCTACTAAATCTTCCTTTTCAGAAGCAAACTTTAAAAAACAATCAACAAGGCTTCGATCCAATAAAAATTGAAACCAGCGCTCCTTCGAGAGAAAAATTCAAAAAGGTGTTATATACGAACGATAGTAAGGTTGAATCTCGTCCACATTACACCCAAAGAGCTACCTCGCCTGTGTTTGTGGAGGCGCCTGATGGATCACAATGGCAGAATGTAGACAATACCGATAATTTAGATACAATTATTATGAACGAAGGTAAGTACCTAAGTATAAACTAATTAATGAAACTGTTATCTATTATTACCTCCGTAACGCGTTTTTTGCGGGTAAGTGATCTAATGACTTCTCTGGCCGTAGGGGCGAGTTGAAGTGTCAGAGTCTTACAGTCTAAGATCCATCCCATTCGTTCAACCGCTCTCGGTACAATATACCGCTTGCACCCGCAAGGCAACGCAGTCCAGATTAAAGCAGGAGAAGGAAAGGGATGGGTTTTGATAAGCAAGGTTGAAACTTCCTTCACCTAATGCGGGAGAAATTTGAAGCCAAAAGTCACATATGAACAAATTCTTCTCTATACAGCTGTAATATCACTAAATTGTATAAAACAAAGTCGCCTTTTCTGTCCCTGTATCCCTATGTTAAAGGTTTAAAACTACGCAACGGATTTTGATGCATTTTTTGAAAATAGGTATGTAGGTATAGGTAGGTTCTTAATACTTTTTTATGAAGGAAAAATCTTCAAATGACTTCTTGTCAGATTCTTACTGACTAAAAACCTCCCTGTTCCTTCTCCTGCTCTAGGCCGAGGCCGTGGTGCCTTATTGCGCTTGCCCCGGAACCCCGGCTGAGATATGTAGGTATGTGTGAAACCGGGCCGTTCGCTAGTATTATATAAAAATAACTTGTACCTACCTAATTTGTATACTCCACTCACGTCTGCAGATCCACCAGCAGTTTACGAACGCCTAAAGAACCACTTCTACATATCCGAGGTACCACAAATCAAAATAATCGCTGAAAAGTTTTCTAAATACAAGAAGAACAACATTGAACTCCGTCGACTTGATGAGAAGGTGGTTTGCGTGGAGTATGATATATATGATCCTGCCAGCAAGGAGGACCTGAAACCTATACAGAGAATGAGGGCTTTCTTCTCTATCAAACCGGTCGTAGGGGATGGCTGTGGGAATCATGGTAAGCAAAAATCTTTACACAGTGCCAAAATTAGTAAAACTGTTCTAAATTTGTAGGATTGTGAAGTTTCAGAAGTTTGGCGATTGGAGATGGATAAGGGGGAGTAAAGGGAATGGGTCTCTGCTAGCCCGAACACAGCGAAACAAAACGCAAGCGTTGTTCTTACGTAACACTCTGGTTGAGCCGATTCGTTCGTATTCGTACAGTTCATATTAATTTGCAAAGTAATGGCGTAAAAGACAATTTGGATGGAGTTAGGTGTTCTAGAATTACAACGAGACCCCATTACAGTTTTGCGTGCATGTTGGCTATGGCGACCTCTTGAAGTTGGGGAAAGTGACCATCTTTTCTGTGATAAGACGGAGAATAAGCAGATTACCTGATGGTATGCAACTGGCGCCGCCCATAGACACCCGCAACTCCAGAGGAGTTACGAATGCGTTACCGGCCTTTTGGGGATAAGGGACTGGATCTAAGGTAACCTCACTCAAACGGAAAAACACAACGCTTTGGTTGTTTAACGCCGGTCTTCTGTAAGGCCGTGGTTTCAATCCAGTCGAGCTGATCCATTCATGCCGAAGCTTGGCTCTCCCAGTCTCCCACACTTAAATTCCGATCAATCCTGATTTATAGATAATATTGCATGTTTAACTTTTCACAGAATCCAAGCTGCCAACGCTACCTTCGAATATAAAACAACAATTCAACATTCTAGACGAAGATCTGAAAAAGTTAACGGACAAAGAGATCGAAATAATCGACGGAAAAATTGAGGAAAACCGATCTTATCTGGATGACTTAAGGCGTATATTGAAGAGGAAACAAGTGATACGCGTTAAAAGGAATAGGACGGCGTTAGATTTGGAATCTCTGTATGAAATGGCGAAACGGGATATGTCGTCTCTGGGTTGCCGGTATTCGGGAGCGAATTTACTTTCGAAAGAGGAATTACAAGAAGTAAAAGACTTGATTCTTCACAGATGCGCTTCCAGTGTCCATGGTATTAGGAGAAAAAGTCTTAAGCGAAAGGAAAAAGGATCTGCGAAAGATTTCGGTGTTATATCCGAGAGCATTGTCGCCGAGTTGTGGAGGGATGATGCCAAACTTAATGTCTAGCAATGAAAGACTTGTGTTCTGTTTGTATTTTTATATATATATTACAAAGTATAAAAATAGTTAACATTATTCTTTGAGTTTTTATACATGGGTGTAGTTTTCTTTTTATTTTATGTACATTATTATTTGATTACTTATACTTACTACTAAACTACTTATGCCCGGTTCCTATATTTAACGAATCGTCGTTGTACACGCAATACGACCAAATGACATTACGAATGGTTATCTTGACCGTCTACTGACGGTTAAAATATTTATAGGAACACACAGACACCATAGATCTCCATACAATTCGCTTACCGATATCCGTTAGTTGCAAACCGTCAGTAAGTTGCACGACGAGACGTTTATTATAGGAACGGTTTTAGCTTACGAGTCGTATATAAAACTACTATTCGTAATTAAAACGGATCGTTTCTCAATTATAGGAACCGGGCGTTAGTGGATTTGATGTGATCTCAATACAACAATTTTCAATCATTTCTTTGGCACCAATGCAGGATCCAGGTTCAATTTCTTCATTTCCACAGCCATTTCGAATAAGTAATCGTAGCACTCCGTCCTGTTAATAAAAAAATAAAAGTTAGAATTTTTAATACCATAGTGAATTATGATTTTTGTGTACTATCGGCCGCGGAACGTTATAGCGCTTTTGCACAACCCCGCCTAACTGCTCTTAGTTAAGTCTCGATAATTTAGGATTTGCGAGATTTTTGTTAATTTAGTTTTGTACTATCGGCTTGTCGACATTAGACTTCGGTTCTAATCATCTTATCCTACTAATCGTACAAATATCCAACTAAAATAATAAATGTGAAAGTATGTGGGAATATATGGATATCTTAAATCTTTTTTATTATTTTACGCAAAAACGGCTTAACTTTTTTGGTTACAATTTTGTATGTAGTTACAGTGCGGCCGACGTATTTTTTGCGAGTCTGAAGTTAGCCGTTTGTCTGCGCAATGTATCTTTTAGGAACAAAATTGTGTACTAGCACCGCGCAGCTAAGCGGCTAACTTAAGACTCGCCAAGATACGTCGGCCGCACTGTAAGTTGTATCCTGGATTAACACAAAGGCTTTTTATCAACATACCTAACAAGCGGGCCAAGCCCAATTAAAATTAAAAATATATCGTCTTACATAGTCTTAGCTTGTTGCCAAGTATCACCCCACACGTAGACTCCATGTCTCCTGACCAGCACCGCGCTAGTTCCCGGGTACTGCCGCAATGCCTCACCGAGGGAACCCGCCAGATCCTTTTCAAACGGAGTGTTTTCTATGATTGGTACGACTAATTTCTCATCGTAGCGCAGATAGCGGCCTAGGGTGGCGTCTTTTATACCCTGTTGGTGTTAGAAATAGGTTCATATTAGAACGGCACTGAAAGTTGTTATTCGGTGAAAAAAAAAACATTTTTTTTAAATTAAATCCGCCATTGGACTAGAATATTGACTTCCTGGTTACATAATGATTTTGGCGAAATTTATTGAATTACATCAATAATAGCAAGTACAGCTGCACTCTAGTACTAGCAGTAGAGCAGTTACCAGTATCTTATTGAGATTTAGGGTTTCGGAGGATTAGGAATTGGCGGTTACCCAAAGCCAATCCGGCTTTCGGTAACCTCACATGGGGCAACACAACGCTTTGTATGTTTTATGCCGGTTTTCTGTGATGCCGCGGTATCATTCCGATCGGGCTAACCCATTCGTGCCGAAGCATGGCTCTCCTACACATGACGAAAGGCGTTACGTTAGGTATGTGTACCTATGTCCATAATTATGAATTAAGGTACCTTGATCATCTCCTGATGTGTGATGACAAACTCCTTGTCATACAGTAGTGTGCATCGCACAGCGTGAGGTGAGTGTGTGTGTATGACTGCGCCCGCGCCGCGCTCTCTATACGCCAGCATGAATAGAGGAGTACACTGACTTTTCTTCAGCCTATAATTATGATTAATTATTATAAATCAAGGCAGTTGTAGAGGAACATGGTAAATGCACAATTGACAGAGCTTAGTTGGTAACTGGTGAGAATTTGCCAAAAATGTTGAGAAATGGCAAAAGGAATTATTCTATACTAACACTGTCTATACCGATACTGCCAGGAGTAAATTCAATTTAAAATTCTTTAAATACTATTTATTTCAATTTAAAAAAAAAATTAAGTATATGTTAAATTTATTGAAATTTTAGTTTTCCAACAGCTTCTGTATACAGATTGTTAAAAAATGAGGTAAGTATCATAATTGTTTTTCGAGCTTATACAGCTGGCAATTACAGGTTAGGTAAAAAATTTCAGTACACAGAACAAAAAAATATAAGCATACCAACATAAATTTAAGTGAAAGTTATTAAAATGTTTTGCAATAAAAAATTTTCTTTATTTCTTTCTTTTTTACTTTTCTTTGAAATACAAACAAGGATGTTATGAAGATAATATTAATAATGATTGAAATACAATTGTGACCAAAATGAGATCAAAAAGAGCAAACAAGGATGTTTTGAAGATAATATTAATAATGATTTAACTTACATTTTCTCTGGAGGTGGCAATTCAAGATCCTCATCATTGATAGTTTGCACAAATAGGTCATCAGACTTCATGCGCTCCTTTTGCACTCCAGATGGTGCTATGTAGATTTTATCCCTGAAATATCACACAATATATTTAGCATTATTGAAATGTGTAGTTAAGGCTTAGGTTCCATTGGGTCTCATCAGGGTATCTATACTAATATTATAAAGAGGTAAAATTTGTAAGTTTGTATGTCCCCTACATACAAACTTGCAAATTTTACGTCTAGTAGTAATCTTTGGAACCGCTGATGGGATTGCCAAAATTCCTTCGCTGATACACAATGTTTCCGGGTGCTATCGGCTATAAAACATCACGCTACAATTAAATGGATCTGAGCAGTGGGTGATACCGTGCGCAAGTAGTATGTATGTAGTGAGTATCTTATATAACAATAAAATTCTTGTGTCACAATTTAAGTAACCTTACTCCTCTAAAATGGTTTTACAGATTTTTTTACACAAATGCCATAAACAGGATTGTTATTATGCATATTTTGTCAGTCTGACAATTTTTCATACCCCTAAGTAATAAATAATTTATATAGGTATGGAAAACTATGTTTGCTAGGTCAGCTAGTTTTAGTTTGTACGGTCTAAAAATGTTTGTCAACAGTTAAGCCATTGTATACCCAAATATTATTTTAAAATGTTATGAGTATAGTTGAAATCTTAAGTTAATATCAAGTAAAATATTTGTAGTTAATATTCACTCACCCTTGCTTAATAGAAATACCCCCACCAGTTCCAGTCACCCATCCCAAATGATAAAATTGATTGCATAATTCCGGTATCAAATTCCTGGGATGTTCCTGAAAATTATAGAATTAAAGGTTACTTAAATTAAGAATATAAGAGTAGGTTAAGCTAGACTGTTTATAAAGATATATACTTATGTATTTTATTATTGTTTTTAATATGTGGTTTAAATACTTACTTAACATTAACTTAGGAAAGTAATATTAATAGGATGTAATAAATTGATCACATGATTATTAAAGATATTAGACGTACTAAAGACTAGACTGATACTGAGTATTGTTATTAAATTAATAACTTCAGTAATGATGCAAAGTATTCGGAAACGCATTTAAAAAAATATAATTTAAGTATTTATTCTCACCGGACCAAGTTCAGCCATGATTTCTTTCGCGTCGTAGTTAACAAACTGACGAAGAATGATTATAATTATTGTCTTCTAATAATAATATACTAGCTTTATCTTATCTCAGCCGGTGTAGAAAAATACTAAACAGAAATCATTGCGCTCAGCGTTTTATCAACAAAATGTTGAGATTGACTTGACATCTGACATCTGGACTTTTGTTTGACACTTGACAGTTTCTCATTTACTACCAATGGTAGAATCAAAGAGTTAGTAGAATAGTATAGGTATCGCGTTCACTGTTTAAACGATGTATTCAAAAAAATATCATTGTTTGCTTTTATAAATTATTAACATTTGCTACAAACTATTAGTTGGCTCCAAGCAATATTAAAATAAATATTACAAGCAAATTAAACAATGAAAAGTAACGGCGGGAACATCATGAAGCTTTATTTTATTTAAAAAATCCACTTAATCACATAAAAAGTGGTAAAGTAGTGTCAAGTCCCAATGGATGGAATTACTATTCACGAGTAGAATACGCTTTTTTTAGTTTCATTACATATCTCTATGGTAAGTTTCTAGATGACGTCGCGCAGACGAATTATTTAAAAATACTGGCCTCCTAGACACTAATTATTTCTGTTTATTGACAAATAACATCATGGACATCATTGGGTGCACTGTCAGTACAATTTTTATGTCAAAATTCTAGCAATACACACCAAATATTATAAAAAATTGTTTGCTGATGTTATGGACCATGACAAAGAAATCTAATTAAATCGATAGTCTGAAACCGCCAAGTTGATTACTTAGTTGGAATCTTTAAACGTAAGTGTTTTTGACTGAGCACTTTTTAATGTGGAATACCTAACTATTAAAATATGAATAAATTTTATGAAAACGCTGTCCTTTGCGCAACATAAATTATGGACTGTATTTATTTATCATCCAATACTGTATTTCAGTAGGTACCGTACGGTTGAAAAAATATTTTTATACACCTGAAACGAACTAAACGGGTACCTATTAAGACCGAGAGACGATCTCCGGCCAGCCGGGGAGGGAGGAGGGGATTAGTCAGTAAGTCAGCGGGAGAAATCATTTGATGATTTTCCCCTCAGAAAAAAAACTTAAAAGATAGCTCTTAAAAACCCTTTAGATACCCCACCAGGCCTCTAGGGTTAAGGGTTTGGTTATGCGTAAAGCTATTGCCAAAATTCACACATTACAAAAAAATACCGACAAAATTATAGACAACTAATCAGGACAGTGCTCTCGGAGTACCTTTACCAATAAGAACTCGGATTAGGCAAATAATGAAGCGTGGGAGCTCCATGCTTCGGCAAAAATGGGCCACCTCCACTGGAGTGATTGCCTTCCTCACAGAATACCGACAAGATACATAGCTTACTTTTCCCCATCATCCGAATCGACAGTCCTTAAATCCCAATGTTTTTTTTGAGAGGTGCAAATCATCCAATGACTTTTCTTGCCAAGGGAAGTGTGATCCCTAACAAGCCGCTAAAGGCAACACACTTGGTGTCTATCAAGTCCCTTTACTTACTTATTTTGCTTACTTACTCATTGAAAAGCAAACATACGACCAATTTTAATAACAAAGCACTGGTTTACGTAACACCAAAATAATGAAATAACTTATATGGTAACACGGTACACTTCTGCTAGCTTGAAAAGGGGAAAACAACAATCTTAAATTTTTTTTTTATACGATATTTCGGCTGACGAGCAGAGGGATTACCTGATGGTAAGCAATCAGCGCCGCCAATAGACACCCGCAACACGAAAGTTAAGAGTGCGTTGCTGGCCTATTCGAGATAAGGGTTTTGAATATTTAAGGATTGTGGAGCAAAGGAAAGTCACAACGCTGTTGTTGTTTCACGCCGGTTTTCTATGAAGCCGTGGCATCGCTCCGGTCGACCCGACCCATTAGTGCCGAAGCTTGGCTCTCCCACAAGTCTATAAGTATTTTTGAAACCCATTAAGATATTTTTATTTTTAGAATATTTTTGAGACCCTACATAATGCGTGAGATACCAGAATGTTTGAATCGTCGCTATCAAATTTTGGACAAGTTGATCAAGGACTTGAGTACTTCCCCTCCTCCCGGAGAATCAGCCGTACCGCAACCCAGTGCTGCGAGCAATGAAGTTGGTGTCAAGTTGATGTGTGACTTCTGGAACATTCTGAAAGAAGACCCGGAATGTGACCTACCGGTTTGTTGATAATTGATATATTATATTAAATGATCTTACGATGATCCATTTTTGAAAATTTAAATCGAATATAATACGGTACCTAGTTTCCAACTACTTAGTCAAATTCAAAACTTTTATCCAAATGTCTAAGAAACTACAAACCATGACGTCACTGTAATTCAGCGCCAAATAGTTTACTCATTTCTTCAAAATTAGCTAAAAAATTCGGAAATTTAGTCTATCGACAGATTGATGAAGAAAAGTATCTATTTATTTTTCAATATGTTATTGTATTGAAACGTCGAAATATATTGTTGACCTAGGACACTTCCCAATTAAATACAGTTTTTTTAGTTCTGCCTAAGCATTCTTTGACTGTCTTTAAACTTTTTAGCGAGAAGTACAACAGCGACTTTGTGATAAGAGCTGTGTGGGAATGTACGGTCCCCAACGGTTAGATTGTTATCTAGCCTGCAGGAGTACATCGAAGGATAGCCTGCATCGAAATAAACGGTACACAAATTTGCCAGCCGGCTTTATGTAGTTTAAAATAAAATAGTTGGTAAATACAGGTAGGTTAATACTCAAAAGAGCGAGCAACCAGTAAATAAAGTAGGTACTTACATTCTTAACTTACCTACATTTCTTATAATTCTGTGCTTGAGCAATTCAAATGAAACACCCAGAGATATATGTTTAGTGGTATCCACCTGAGCTATTCTATTTGAATTTGCATAACCTACGGAAAGTAATAGTGTCGTGGTGGCCCGGAGGTTAAGGAGCCCGCTTCTCATGCATGAAGGTATGGGTGCGAAACCTGGAAAGTACCAATGTGAATTTTTCCAAGTTATATGTACTTTCTCAGATTATTTAGACACCACTGACATACGATGAAGGTAAACATTGTGAGGAAAACCTGGTCTTATAATTTCTAATTATAAGTTTGAAATCGCCAACCCGCATTGAGCAAGCGTGGTGATTAATGTTCTAACCTGCTCCGTATGAGAAGAGGCCTTTGCTCAGCAGTGGGCACTTATAGGCTGATGATGACTGAAAGTAATATTTTTTCTTTATTTCGAAATACAAAAACTATTTGCCGTAGCTGTTGCTATATTATGATTTAATTATCCAGTATCACTTTGAAGATTTGCTGGAGTCTGTGTTCCCGAAGGCTTCTTTAAGAACCGAGTGAATAGGTTGCTTATGGATAGGCTTGTACCGTGTAGTACGCCTGCCCATTAATAAATAAATAAAAATAAACACTTTGTTTTATATAACAGATGATGATGACACAGATAGTGAACTCTTGGTATGGGTAGTATTTAAAATACTTAATTTTTTAGGACGTGTGGGGCACATAAAGAAGGAACAATAAAATCAAGTCGCCCCCAAAATTGTCAACATGAGTGTGAAAAGTTACCCCTAACTCAAGTTTTGAACAACATTAAAGAGGTTGGTAGAAAGATAAAGAGAAGAGAAAATCCTACTAATATTATAAACGTGAAAGTGTGAGTTTCTATGTTTGTTAACAAAAATGGCTGGACCGGTTTGATTGAAATTTGGTATTTGGATTAATAGATGGCATTTTATTAACACACTAAGCAGGTGAAGCCGCGTGTGGAAGCTAATGTATAATAAATTTTACGCATAATGGTCTTAATTCCATAATGTCTTAATTTACTATGTGTTGTTTAACCTTCCCGGTTTTGGAAATCGTTTGAGCTCTTGATTATGCAGTCTGATTGTACTTAGTATTGTAATCATCTCACTAAGTTTGAGAGTTTGTATTCGAAGTACTGTTTTCTTTGAGTATTGAGCTCTGACGTCATTTCTTTCTAATCGTCATAGGGGATATTGTGCAATATTTGCTGAAAATAACTCGTCTCTGTCAGTTTGGTCGTTGTAACTAGACCGTCAGGTAAGAGGTCAGTACAGTCATATCACATTGATTTGAACATGACACGGAGTTTCTTGGTCGTTCTTCTCCTTTCGAATCTACAATTTGGAATGAGCGGCTAGCTTCACTGACAAACAGACTGACAGACTAATATTCTATTCTGACGTTTCAAAAGTACCTATTTGTGGTTTATTTGAAATTAATGATTTTGACTTTGAATAAGGAAATTGTCAATTAAGATTAAAGATAACATTTCTTTAATACAATCGTCGGTATCTAAGTAGACACAGTTTTCTAACCCATACTTTACGAGCACCCAAGTAAGCCATTTATCTGGGAAGGTTTTTATGACTGAAGAGTGGGCCCACTTACTGATATTCCTTCATTTAGTTTTGTAAGGAGATTATTTATTTTAACAATACACTATGTTGAAAATATTTAACAGTGGCCCAATGCTTCCCATTCTCCAATCCCTTCCCTTTTCCAAAATCTCTAAATCACTAATACTAATAATGAAATAAATAGTGTCCATGGGCGGCGCTGATTGCTTACCATCAGGTACCTAATCTGTTTGATCATCTGCCGTCGTTGATAACAGAAAAAGATACCGATATTTATTATGTTATTTTTGTTTTTGCCGAAGGCGGCCTCATTCGATAAGAAGTGCCACGTGCGAGTTGAAGAGCTCATGTCAACTCAAAGAGACCTCATGGTGCAGATTCAAAATTTAGAAAAAAGAGAAAAACAAGGAGTGCAGCTCTTGAAACAGGCTGACTGCATGTGGTCATGTATGGAGGAGTCGTACAAAAAGAAAATATCTCAATCTCAAGAAAGATATAAAGCATTAATGACGGAGGTAAAATTAATTTATTAAAATTCGATTTGTTGGAAGACAAAAGGTTTTTGCTGACGTCTTGATAAAATAATAATTGCTTATTAGCAAGGTGTTTTAGTAAGATTCCCGAATGTGTACTCATAAATGCTTAGGTATGCTAACGAATTAATAAAATATTTAATATATAATCATGCAGCATTACTTAGGTGCCTAGTAAAAAATTTAAAGCAGTTTAATGTAATTTAAAGTGATAACATATAATAGTGGATATCGTGAAACATAGTAAATTTATTGAAAATAACGACTTACTCACTTGAATTAACTAAGAAAAGCTTTAATAGTTAGTAGTAAAAGTCAGTGAGCCAGTCGATTGAACGACGTCACTACGACAAGCGCGCTGCTCATGAGTAACATTCTAGTCGCGACTTGAAAGTAGTACAACTGTTCTCGGTTAATTCACGTAAGTAATTTAAATTTTACATAATTTAAAATTATTTTATAGTTAAAGGAAATAGAAACCAGTGCAATCAAATGGAAGAAGCACAAGAAAGATCTAGAATTTCAATTAACGAATATAAATCAGTGTGGAGACGACATCAAAGAGAAAACATATCAGAAGAATAATGACCTCAAAGTTATGAACATGGAAATTGAAGAGCTGAAGAAAAGGATTGCAAGTAACGCTAAAGATTTGAATGTTGCTAAGAATTCCTATAAAGCGAAAAAAGAGGCTTCTGATGTGAGTATTTATAATACTACCCTTCGAATAAAGAATAAAGCGAATAAAGAATTTTGAATGCACGGTAGGCAAGGTGGTTGGGTAATTAAGTGGCTACCGCGCAATGTGCCACGGTTTTGATCCCCACACGGAACAACTCTTTGTATGATCCACAAATAGTTGTTCCGGGTCTCGGTGTGATATGTTTGTGGGTTGGTATGTTTGTAAACGCACCCACGACACAAGAGAAATTACTTGTGTGTGGCAAAGTTAAATATATATATGAATTTACGAAACGCTAAGTATGATTTTTTTGTACGTAGGTTATTTTCCCTATTACTTAAGTAAGTCTCAAAACTTGTTGATGATTATACAATTGAAGATAATAAATGCATTAATGTTATTTCTTTCTCGTATAAATAGGCAAGAATGGCGACAATGGCATCTAATATGAAAACACTACAACAAAAGGTTGCAGCAGAAAATAAAATTAAAAAAGATAAAGAAATTGAAGGAACAAAATACGTGAAAGAAGCGAGAGAGGATTTACAGAAAATTTGTAGAGTTCTTTTACAGAAGAAATTGGAAAATGAAGATCTGCGTGCTGAGGTAATATGCACAGCTCACGTCCTTTTATGAACCAAAAAACAAAATGAATTACTTAAGTACGAATCTAAGTAAAATAATACAGAACTTCATAGATTACTGTATAAATAGTACCATACTATTCTAAATGTTTAGTCACCGGTTAGGGTAAGACCCCGTATGAGCAGTTGTAAGAGAGACGCTATTTCGGATACAGCGAGACGAAACGTCCAGTTGTCGTCATTGTAAGGACCACCCGGAGGATACGGTGTAGCATTCTGCTTGGGTTGACCACCACCGTGTCTTCAGAGAAGTTTTCGGTGGCGACAAACTCTACTGTCCAACTTTAGTCGAGCTCATGTGCTGAGTGGCAGGAACTAGGAAGCCGTCTTCTCTTTCTACGAAGCAGCTGATGCTGCGAACGAAGCAACTATCCTTCTCATGCCCCAATACCCCAATCTGAGACACTCCGTGCATAGACGATCTAGCGATTATACTTATATTACAAAAAAATTAGACATATTATTTGTGTTTATAGAGCGCAACTGCACTTTTGACCCATGGCTACGCATACAATCAGTTACAATAATATTCATGTTGATTTTATTTTACTTACAGAAAGACGCAATACTACAAGAAATTGATCTTTTAAAGCAGACCTTTAATAATTGCAAACAAAAATGTGGGAATAAAGAAAAATCTATTACCGAAGAACTGACAAAGGTCGAAAACGATTTGGCTGAAATGAGGATAAAATGCACGAAATGCCATGAATGCACTGATACTATAGATATTAGGAAATACTGTACCGATTGTCCAAGATGTTTAACAGAAAGACATTGCTTATACTCAGAAGATCATTGTAGTAATGACTATTCTATGGATTGTGTTTGCATGAGCGTAAAACAGAAATTTTTGGACAATGTTTTTGATAACATGTACACAGTTTTGGAGAGACAATCTAAAACATGTCCCGGAAAAGCTGTTGCTGATTGTGTGCTGAATTGTTTAAAGAGAAGTCGAAATGGGAAACTTAACCAGGAAACTAGAAAAGTGTTGCAGGACTTTATTTTGAGTACTGTGAAGAAGAATTTGAATCTAACAATTGTCGGTGGAGCGGTGAAGACTAGATGCGAGGTACGTGTGATGACTACAGGAGGAATCAAGATCGATGAGGGTTATTAACCATACTGTTTATTAATATTTGTATTTCAGATGGATCCAGAAACTTACAAGCAGTTGATGTTATGTCTCAAAGACGTTACTGTGACACGTCCAGTAAAAGAAGATAAGGGTACAGGGTCTAAAAAGGTAAGTCTTATCTGTTGTATTTGTTACCATGCTTTTATACCTTTAACTTATATGTTTGTAAGTTTTAAATGAATATTCAGTCTCTTTTCTTCATTTAATAAAATTTGCCATATTTGCATAGGAACCGTGTCATCGCTGGGGTGGGATTAGTGAATGTCATTGCCCAAAAGGTCCCAAGGCCTGTGTTTGTAGTAAAGCCCCACATCCACCAACTGACCCTCCTTCTTGTGGACTACAACCAGCAGAAGAGGTAAATTATTAATCTTTTATGTGCCATTTTATGAATTAAAAATGCGTGATAAATAAAAATAGTTTGTTGTAGGTATCCGACATCATTTCTTGATGTGTTTTATGATGCATTTTTCTCACACTAAGTATTCATAATTTTAGCTATTTCACTATCAAGTACATAGATTAAGTCCTAGTTCAATGGCAGTTTTCACCATAGATAAAATAATTTTAATAATGTTTAGGAAGCTCACGAGCGAGTTTGTTTCTCAAGTGACCGGTGGCACCAACACCACTCACAATTAAGTTGAAACAAAATAGGTGGAATTCACATACTAGATGTCTACCTTCCTTCTGTATACGGAATATGCGGCTATACTGAATTTCTCATGTAGGATCCGGCGGAGAAATCGTGTCCACAACGAGAGTCACTGGCATGCAGCACGGACTGTGGTATGTTGGGGATGCCGGGTGCACCGTCCAACTGGCGGCGCGAACCATGCGCTGGCCAGAGCTGCCCCTTCTCCAAGAATATGCGCGCTGCTCAGTGTGTTCTGGGACCTGAGCCGCTCTCTTCAGAGCCTAAGGCTCATTCCTTGCCACCAAACACACCAAAAAAGTTGCCAGAAGATAAGACGTTGAAGAAGTTGGCAGAAGATAAGACGGTGAAGAAGTTGCCAGAAGATAAGACGGTGAAGAAGTTGCCAGAAGATAAGATGGTGAGTTCTAAAATCGTGTCTTTAAACTTACCTTAACATAAATCTGTTTCGAACGAATTAGTAAACATTACATTGAAATCAGATAATTCAGCAATACCGATCATTCTATTACTCAGTGTAAATCATTTGGACTGAGACAATAAAACTACCAGGTACAGAATTTTTTTTATGATGGTGGTGGAATTTGATATGATGGTTGGAGCAGCTTTATTGTTTGGTGACGTTTATGTTGTATATGTAAAACAATGCATAACAAAACATAAAAAGAAACTATTCATGTCTTAAAGGTAAAATAAATTGAAATTGTTTTTATGTTTAGGCCACATGCGCTTGTGGAAGCAAGGCGGTAAAACCATGTCCATGTAATAGAGGTAAGTAATAAAATTTAAACAAAACTTATGCAGGTTTAGATTTTGTGTGGGAGTACAATTCAGTGAAACTAGACATCCCGGTCGTGACACTGAAATCTATGATTGTAGATCGTAGAGGTCAACCGCGCCAACGAATTTTCGAGGAAGTCATGGGAAGATATTCTGAGGTGTCACCTATACAAAATATAAGTTTCACGTGTTTGGATAACGAGTCCTCCAACATAAGTTACGAAATGTGTGAATAGGATCTGGCTGAGTTTGTTTCAAACATCATATCATAAGAGTCGATTTGTTTGATAAATTACGAATGTAAAATTCCACAATAAAGCTTACAATGTTTTTGTACATGGTGGTTTTATTTCACGAAATTATAAAAGTAGCCACCATGTTTTGACGAAAATGAAATACACTATTTTATTTTAGGTATCCAAGGTCGTACACAATGATGTAATGATTTCGAAGAGAAGAGTAGAATCGGAATGCGATTGCTCTAATTTACCTGTTAAATATTTGCTGGCGTCAAAAACTTCAGAAAATAAAATAAACCAGTATTGTGCCTGTTCATCAAATTATGTATCGCGAGAAAATAGAACGCCTTTTTTAAATAAACTGCAAAGAAGAGGACATATAAAAATTTGTAGAAATAATAAAAGTGAGCAGGATATTAGTGGGATTGACGACGAAAAACAATTTTCTTGTGTCGGTCCTCGAAAAAATAAAAAAATAACAGACAAATCCGGTAACGATATACAGATGATATTGTGTCCTAAATTTCGTCGGGGTTCTGATAAGAGAGAAACATCGATTGGTGATATTAGTAGCATAGATGAAGTTCAAAATGATCGTACGACGTTAAAGTTTAAGTCATCTTCAAAAACAGAACAAGAGCTACATTCAGACGATGCTAGCATTGTTGGAAAAAAGGTTTGCGAAACTGTTAAGGAACTTATGAAAAACATTGTTGTCCCGCAGATGCCACCTACAACTGCTAATGTATCTTCTCCAAAAGTTGAATGGGTTACACTAAAATCATTGTATAAAGAAATATCTTCATTGGCAAAGTTGAAAAACTTAAGCACAGAAACTGTAAACGAAGTGGAAGTAAAATGTGAGACTTTAGAAGTTACAAATGATTTTAAATTTATTAAAAACCAAGAAAAAAATATTACCTTAAAAAATGAGGAAATAGACACGGAGTTGTCAAGTGACAATTTCAAAGAAAAGGAAGGTAGCGACAGCATATGTTACAGTGACGCAATGTTTGGAAGTTTCTGTAATACTCGGACAAATACAAATATCATAGCCGAAGAATTGAAGTTAAAACTGTTGGAGGACATCCGGAAGACTTATAACATTTCTCTTAAAACATCCTTTGAGGATTTTAACGAATTTGAAGATAAGGAAAACAATCTAAAAAATCTTCGTAAATGCTTACTTAATTTACAAGAAACTGAAACGGAGCAAAATGAATGTTCTTGTATTAACACAAAGTCGCAAAGGAAAGACGGATATGAAAGTACTGTACAGTATTGTTTTTCTGTCCATGATATAAATGTTGATAGTGAAAGTACAAATAATGATGTCGTTTTTAGTGTCGCTCCTAAATATAAAGATAAAGAAAAGGATAGTAAAATAATATTAAATAAACAAGTCAAAAATAAGCTCGATCATATAAAGCGAAATAAAATAAACAATGCTAACAAAAAACATAGAGCTAAATTACCACTTGTTCAATAAAATATAATGAATAGGTAAATAATAGGAGTTTGTTAATAGATTTAGATTTAGATTTAGGCTATTTTTTTATCAACATATGGATTTTATTTTTAACATATAATGGACGTATGACAGTTGTATAGAATAACTGACAAAAAATCAAACATATTCCTCACATAAAATTTTCTAGCACTGGAAAAATCTGTCACTTAGAAAACGGTGATTGCCTCAAAATAATTTTACCATCACTTACTGTTTTCAGTTGTTTTGTACTCCCATGCACTTTTAACACATTCAGTGCCCCCGACGCGTATGTGCGTTTCCTCGCACGCACATACGCGTCGGGGGCACTGAATGTGTTAAAAATATTTTTTCCATATTTTCTTAATTTATATCATAATCATAATATTTAAATTGGCTTGCAGATATAAAACAACTGACAGCAGAAGTTACAGATACTTGCAATCAGGGTACATGTGCAAACTTTCGAAAAATAAAAAAAGGTACTCAGACGCTTGAGTTTTCCCAAAAAGAAGAAAGTGGCACAACACAGGGAATTAAAATGAATATTAGTGAAAATGAAAATAAAGAACAATTTAAGATATCAATTGAAGATAAAAGTGGGCTGGCAAGTAATCAATTTACTGAACTCAAACAAACAAAATCTGGTAGGCTAGCTATGGAACTAGATGAACAGTTAATAGACATGATAGAAAAGAAAAGTCAAGAGAATCCTTCCTTATTCGTTTCAATTAAAAATACTTCATCCGGAAATCTTTTAGTCGATTTCAATACAAAAGAAAATGAGACAGATAATACTCACAAAGTAACAATAAGACGGACATCTTCTGGAACTCGACTGTTAGACATACATAAGAACGTAATCAATATTTTAAAAGGTAGCTTATATAATAAGTCAGCTGATACCCATATATCGAAAAGTATTAAGTTAGCAATGAGTCCTAAAAAACAAGATAGTCTGATTCAGGTAGTTGGATCTAATAAAGCTGATGTTAATACATTACAACTGCATGACATAAATTCAGAGAAACATATAATACAGCATAAGGCAGAAAACAAGGGTGAGCGCGAAAGGGACAAGAACTCCTGTAAAGATATTATTAGTCCTTCATCCAACTCACAGTTAAAGAGTATAAACGAATTACCATTACCAGCCGACTCTGCAACAAAATCATCGCTTGGAAAAGAACTTCAAAGAACAGACAATCTAGATCGTCAAAAGTTACCTAGGTTGCAACAAAGTTCGAACACATTTGACTTAAAATCACAATTTAAGAAATTGTATAAAAAAGGAAATGCAGATGTCGAAGTCCATGTTAAGGAAAAAGACGGCGTAGTTCAAACATTTTCTACTGTTGTTACTAAAACAACGTCGGGTACTATAGCTATTTATGTTGATAATAAGACTTCGTTGAAATACACACATGTTATAAAAAATGAACATCCTGTTCTTTTGTCTAAAATAACCTCTAGGGAGTATTTTGTAAACTTGGATAGAAAAGGTCGAGTTTTCAACGCAATTATCAGAAAAACTCCATCAGAAGGAATGTTAATAATCCCGGAATCAAGATCATTTATTGAAATACACAGTCAGAGTCATAAAAGTGGATACAATATAAAGCTTACAATAATTGGATTACAAACTCCTCATTCGTTAGAACTTCCTGCAATTTTACGAACTACATCATCGCTAAATTACGAAATTGTTTTAAACAAAAACATCGAAAGTAAAGAAAAAGACCATGTAAACGAATTTATGGAGAATAAAAAAGAGACCACGGTAAATTTACACAAAACTAGTTCCGGAAATTATATAATTGATTTGGATACAGAAAACGAAAGTCATCTAACTAAACAAAAAGCGTTGATTAACAAATCATCATCAGGTGACATGAAAGTAATAATTAAAAAAGATGTGTTTGAATCTATAGTTGACTTGGTTTCGTTAGAAAGTTTATCTAACGATTATTCACAACCAGTTGGGAAATTGCCTGCTTCAAGTAGAGAAATTCACCGGGAAAATCTGAGAAAATTAAAAAAAATGGACAAGAAAACTAGCAATAATTCACAGGTTAATAAGAATTCGAAGGACCATGACAATAAACAAATATTTTCGAAAAAAACTGGTGTTGTGAAAATGACAAAATCAGGTCAATATGCGGTAATGTTAGACGAAGAGACAAAAAAAGCATTCATGAAGAACTTACAGAGCTTTTTGTCAACTAACTCAGATGGGCTTATTCCAATTAAGAGATCAGACTCTGGAGAAATAATTATAAATCTCAATTGCGGTAATAAATCGAAAGAACACTACGGTACATTGAAAATAACTCCATCAGGAAATATATACGTGGTTGTTGACGAAGAAGTTATCAAAACAATGACTGGACGTGCTAAGAATAAAAAACTAACAGATGATGCAGATGTCGGTACGAGATCGCAGCATATAACAAATATAATAGCTTCTGTTAATAAAGCTATTACAACAACATGCAATGGTCAGCCGGATGATTGTGACTGCGATGCAGCCAAATGTGTTTGTTCAGAATTGCAATTGGACACATTTGATTGGTCTTCTGATTTTAAACCGAAAAAAATCAAACCGTCCATTTGGACAAAAGCAAATCGTAAAGCTGGCTCCTTTCATTTAAAGAAACGTAGTGTCGTTGCTAAGTCATCATCCAAATCTAAACCAGCACACATTGTTATTAAACCAATATGTGACTGTCGGCCGAAATCCAAAAAATCAACATCAAAGAAGCATTGCTGCTTTTTAATTGATTCGGTATGTCCATACCATCAAAATAGATATGACAGTGTATCCAACGAGATACTAGAAATAACAGGGTTATGTAACTCACACAAGGATCCGAGTAAGAATAAAATTGAATTTGAAGCAATAAACAATCTACCAACTGAAGAAAAAGGACCTCAAGTGTGGGATTCTTTGAATTATTTACCACCGCAACTGCCACCGTTTTTGAATTTTGACTATCGCTAAAAATCTATACATTTTTTTTTTATTTTTGTATTGGTCTATCATCAGTGCACAGTTTACAAAAAAAAAATACAAGTATTGGTATGCATGTACATTTTGTGGTCGCATTTAGCAAATTTGAAAACAAAGTATATGTGTGTACCATTTTATTTCCTAACTTTGTATGATAGATGATCGCGTACGTTTTGTTGAGGAGATCGTAATGGTTGTATTCTGAAATGTCGTACTAAAACTCCACAATTGATGATCGAAGTTCCATTACAATAGTCATTTATCAGATGCTTGTGTACAATTTATGTGCGATCATGTAACTGTTCGCAAATGATTGGTTGCTGATGTTTGTTATTATACATATTGTTTAATATATTTTTTTTCATTTCTAATATTATTATGAATCTATGTGTTGTTATTTTATCACAATAATTAGTAATAAATTGGGCTACAAATAGTCTGCAAGCTACGGTTGGGCGAGATTGTGCCTTTTGCTCCAAGAAACAGTACTCAATTTTG